TAGAGAAAGTCCAAGTATTCCTGTAGCGTGATCTCTATGGATCCTAATGCCAAAGACATAATTTGCATACTCATATCCTTCATGTCAAAAACTTTACATAAAATTCTTAATATCATGTATCACATGATTGTTATTACTACCTTGCAAAATATCATCAACATATAGGACAAGGAAAACAAAATGACTCCCACTGAACTTGAGGTATATGCATTTATCCATAACATTCTCTTTGAACTTACAATTAAAAAACACTGAATCAAAATTTTGGATACTACTGCTGTAAACTTACTTAAGTCATAAATAAGTGATTATGAAAGAATGACTCTTAAAGAGTTCTTTAATGAAGCTGGAGAAAATCTTAAAGAAATCAACACTTTCTTATATCCACCGAACACCTTAAAATCACCAACTACAGCATACTTCTAAGCTCTAGAAAATCTCCTAAGCTAAACTGGCTTAGGAACTAGATTAGAAACTGAAAGAAAGGTCTGCAAAAAAGAAATAACTGAAAGAGTGGGAATATGGGCTTTAACTGAAACCACTAAAGAAAGTGGAATGAAGCTTGGAATAAATAGAATAGATGCTGAAAATACCTTTCTGCAAAAAAAAACTAAAATATCTTAAACTCCCACTGGATTCACCACTCTCATTAAATATACATGACATATTCCAATAATCTCCATAGGTCTACAGGACAGTAAAATCTCGAATTCTTTAATCTTTCAAGATGTCTAATAAAATAATCATTGGTAATGTGAGTATTAAGCTCCTTAATATCTGCATTATATAACTATGTCTCTATAAGATATCTCTGCACTTTCTATTTTCTGCAACTTTATTCTGTTTAGGAAAACTAGAAGTGGTCTACTGTGGCACAATGCGCTGCTCTTTAAGTATGCACTGCTCTTTACACCCTCCTTACCATTCTCCCAATAAAACTCACCACCTTAGTCCGATCTTAAAATCATAATCTTTATATCAATTACTTTCAACTTTAGTCTAGTAGATCTTACACACATCAAGTGCTTCGGACTTCTGGTGGATTAAGTATACAATCATACCTTGAGAACCCATCAATGAAGACAATGAAATATCTTTACCGCAAACGAGTTACAATAAAAAATAGACCACAAAATTCGGTATAAATATAGTCTAAAAGACCAAATGACCGACTAGCCTAAAAATTGTGTTTCTTAGCATTTGTCTTTTGACACAACCAACGCATAAAATTTGTGGCATAATAATCTCATCCTTGACCAAGCATTCAAATCTCTTTTGAGAGACATTCCCCAATATCATATGCATAACATAGATGAATCCTCTCTGACCAAAACACGATTTTATTCAGATGGTATCGAGTCAATTGAAAAACAAGAAGCAAGTAGGATCACACCCGAATCCATCCACCATGTTTATACCTATATTTTTACCAAGTTAGGCTCAAATATTAATATTGCAATTTTCTTTCTTTCTTTGTTTTTCTTTTCACCACAATAACCTTTTCTTTAGATGTTCTTTTATTTCTACAAGATTAACATTTATCATTCCATGATCAATGTTTTTATTCTGTTTAGCCTTATTCACTTTCTTACCGCTTAGTTTCTTCATGAAACTATTCTTACTATCACCGCAAGATAAGCTGACTCAGTTTTAACACCCTTAAGTCGTTTCCATTCAATAACACAAAATGTTAACAGCTGGTTAATGCCACATTTAACTTCTTGTGAATTATAATTCACCTTGAAAAGCTGGAAAAACCTAAGTAGAGAATAGATCACCATGTGGACTAATTATCTTATTAGCAAATATGATTCTCTACTACCTCAGATTATTAACCAGCTTGCACATCTTATAGATGTACTCCCTCACTAAACCATTACCATCATATCTCACTAACATAATCCATGTCAGATAATAGTATTGTAGTTATTTCTTAATACCCATTAACTCTTTCTTGATCAAATCAAGAAACTCCTTGGCAGTATCAAAACTAGAATACCACCCTGAATAGTATCACCAATAGAAGTATAAATTAATCTAATGGCATGGTAATACCTGTAGTTCACTTAAAAAATGCAACAACTTTTCTACCTAAGAAGATAATGCACTGGGCATATGAGTTTCTTTCTAAAACAACAGACACGTAGTCTAAGAAATTCAATATAATATCAAAACCTGTCTTCTAGGCAGTATAATTTTAACCATTCAATGGTTCAATCCCTATAAGATATCTTTAAATTGCAGAAGCGTCTGTAACCTGAATAAATATTATATTGAATAACATCACATAAACAACATATAGTAATATATCTCAGCTTTAGGGATTATAACTTTAATTCGTGCTTGGGGTTTTAAGTCGAATTTATTAGGGTGTTTAATATGGGTTTCTTCCTCAAAAAACATAGACTCATGGTCTAAGAAACCTAATATAATATCAAAACCTGTCTTCTAGGCAGTATAATTTTAACCATTCAATGGTTCAATCCCTATAAGCTATCTTTAAATTCGCAGAAGCGTCTATAACCTGAATAAATGTTATATTGAATAACACCACATAAACAACATATAAAATAATATGTAATAGCTTTAGGGATTAATACTTTAATTCGTGCTTGGGGTTTCAAGCCGAATTTCTCAAAGTGTTTTACTATGTGCAAAACCATCCACCCTGCGGGAACAAATAAAATGCCATCTAAAAATCACCTTTTAGCAGAATTTTAGATTTTTACTTTACCCCCAAACTTGCGATAAAATCGCACATAGACCTATTTGATTATACTTGAATTATTGCTAAATACTTCCACTACCTTTTGGCAAGAGGGTTATTTAGTTATAATTTAAGCACTCTCAAATATTCTACTCACTTATCCCACACTAAGACATTGATCACCTTTTGGCAGAACAAATGCCCTCATGTAGGTAAGTGTACTGTGAGACCTCAATAAGACCAATGTCTTAAAATTTTAAAATAATAACCTCTGTGAGTGTGTCACCTTTTGGCAGACATTACCCACTTTGGCTACCATATTTGAAATGATCACTTTACTGGTCTTCCTAAACCCAAAGGAAGAACCTAAATTGCAGAAGTTCCATTTATTTAAGTTCAACAATTTCTTTATAATACACATAAACTAAACCCAAATATTATGGAACATTTGATGTCACCGTAATATAAATGGCTTTAACACAAATAAAATAACGCCCCCTCATACATCTTAAGAAATTACAATGAACAATATAATAATAACATGCACATCAATTGAGATTTAAAATCTCAATTCTTTATATACTTTAATTAAAACAAAATAATAATAAAACTTTGATACATGTATATTATATATTCGATGAACAATTTAAAGTACTTAAATCTTTAAATCAATTAGATAAAAAAATATTTGCTTATGGCACACAAACCCCTATAAGTTTTTCAACTTAAAATTGAGCAAATATCATGAATTACTTAATAAAATACTGGGTAGGGTGTGACCAAATAGCCACACAACCTCATGTCCCACTCAAAGGTCACTGATACATGTAATATAACATGAATTAAAATTCTCAATATCACTGTACTTTAGTTTCAAAAGAAACAACCTTGATATATATACATCATACTAGCATATCCAAGTATATATAATTCAAAATTAATCAAAACTTTTGAATTTTACAATTGAAATTAATATAATAAAATAATAAATTTCAATAGTAAAACACAATTGTAATTGTACATATACAATTGCATGCAAGAAGCATTAAATTAGCAAGTTATTAAATAATTTTATAATACTTGGTTTTTAAGAAAAGACAAAACTGTGACCTAGAGTTTACCTCTCAATAGTTTTGTTTTCATACCCTACAATCATATATATATATATCACAAGATTGATGTATGTAATAATAAAATATTATTTTAATACACCAAAAACTTACCTGATTCCTATTCCACCACATCCTCCAAATATATGAAGTAAACAGAATTTTAGCAAATCTGTTATGCCTTGAATTTCCTCTAGAACTGAAGCATATAACTTCTATTGACATGAAACAATCTAATATACTTATTAATTCTGATGTCTAAATAAGTTTCTTCAATATCAATTGGCTCTATACAATTAGTATTCCAATTCAAGTAGTATAGATAAATAGGGCTTGAACTTTTAGGTAATTTCTCTTCAACAAGGATATAGCACAGTCCAATTTAATTGTTCTGTCTCAAAGCGTCAAGTACATTCATGTTCTATAGAGTCAGATTAAGGGGAGTGGAGCAAATTCATTGATTATTGTTTTATTCCTCGTTCGGCGTGTAAACTCATAAAGGAGACAAGCAGCTTAATTGCATAACAATTCATGCAAAACAAAATCTCATTCACTGATTAAAGACAAAGTGATTAAATTGCATAACAAATTCATACAAAACTCTCATTTGGCGTGCATGCAATTTGATCACGAAACAAACTGATAGCAATTTGTGCACTGCTTTATTTATTTTAAAAATATGAATCAATTACATATTTTGATTTCTATAAACCCTAACCTCGCTCTGATACTAATTGTTGAGTTTAAATAACAAATAACATGTAGAAATCAAAATTGATCATAAATTAAAGAGAGGTTTTGAGATCAAACCTGATTAGGAAATTAAACTTTTTGATACATTTGATAATTCCTTATCGTCCTTTGAGAGATCTGAAAATAGAGCGCTTTACCCCCTTCTGAAAGTTGTCGATACAATAGGACTGAATAAGGATTTTAAAACCATTATATATAACAACAACAGGAGGGACGGCTTCTCTACAAACAAGCATATCTAAGTCTCCCTTCCTATCATGGAAACTTAGATATCAATGGTTAGAATTAAATCACAACAAATAAGTTGGAAAATCACAATCCAACGGTATAAAACCATACTTTCAATTAGACCACCAAATTGGAAAGTACAACCCAATCCATCAAGTATCAATAATCACATTGCAATCCTATTTTAGAAAACGTAGTACATAGGATCATAAAATAATTTTTATTATTTAAATATATATATATATAAATTCCAACATAGATCACTTGCAGCTTGCAACAAGAAGGGAAAGAAGATACTAAGACAATGATAAAAAAGAGAAGTACAGAAGCAGATCAGCAAGTCATGAGTTCATGACTGCTTTTGATTCTTGACAGTTGAAGATTTTGATGATACTACCAAACATTTCTAGCTCTTTTGGAGGAAGGGTTGATCTGTGGAACAGTAAAACAGCAATCCTCTCTCAACTTTTTGCTAGATTTGATTTTGGTAGTAGCTTCCTTGTATTCCATGAACCCAGTTTGGCCGTCAAAGCCCATATTTGAAGATGTGTTCAATTGAGAATATTGATTTTGGGGAGTAATATCTGGAGCTTGAGGGACCCAAATCCCCATATTTTCTGTTGTGAACGGAGACATATTGCTCTCGAGATCAGAATCCCAAAAACCCATCACATTTTCATCAACATTCTGCAGTTTCATCAATCAACATAAAAAACACCACCTTAGAGAAAACACACAGACACACACATATGAATATATGATATATAGATTACAGAGAGAATGCATACACAGACCTTAGAGAAACCAAATGAGGGTGCCGGAGTGGAATAATCAAGAAAGTCTTCAACGTGCCAGCCAGGTAACGTCTCTGTCAAGTACTCTGATATGCTGCTACTTGTTGGACCAACCCCAACCTCCACAACCCCACCACTCACCAATTGATTCTGCTGGTCACTAGCAACTTGTGTTGTTATGGACGACGGTGGATTGAGAATTACGGAGAGGGGCTTCTGGGACTTCTTGAGATCAGGAACAGAATCAGGGCATCCCGTGGCAGAGGCAGCGGCGGACGGCGGAGAATAGAGGGTGGAGGTGGCGGAGAGCTTAACGCCGGTGAGAAGGAACCTATTGTGCTTCTGGGTGTGCTCGTTGGCTCTGTGTATGGGAATATCACAGTCTCTGCATAGGATTGCCCTGTCCTGTTGACAGAACAAGAAGGCCTTCCTCTCCTGTACTCGCGGCATATACATATATACAATATACATATAGAGAGAGAAAGTGTTAAATTAATTACAAAGCAAAGAAGCATACATATACCAAGTTAACAACATATATAGACCTGACAGATGTCGCACAGAGGGAATTGTTTCGGAGAAGGGAGAAGGAGAGAGAAGCGTTGGTGTTTGACGGCGAGCTTGTTGGCGTGGTGGACGCGGTGGTCGCAGGAGGCGCAAAGGGCAGCCTCGTCGGCGGAGCAGAACACTGATGCTTCGTCTTTGTTGCAGACGTCGCACTGGATCTTCATTTCATTTATTCAAGGAAAATATATAGAAGGTTTTTTTAAAAGAGCTGATGATCATCAGAAACCTGGGGAGACGGAGAAGTCAGAAGTCACTGTGGTTAGAGAGAGAAAGGACAGAGGGCGTTGAAACTTGAAAGCTAAGCGACCCTGTTCTAGATTAAGAAATGAGTAACACTTCAAATATAACATGTGAATTCCTAGTAAAAAAACTAGTAAGAGCCGGTGGAGTGGTACATTAATAGATGTTAAATACATTTAATAATATACTAAAGTTTTACAGAACAAAAACATAATTTTTTAGAACTAAATTTATGTTTGACATTTTTTAGATTAATAATAACATTTCGATTTTCTTTTAGATTTCATGTCCACTTTTTTTTTTTTCATTCCTCCAACTAAAATTAACGGTTTTTTCATTCTCCAGGTGACTGACTTGATCATCGGAGCTTCCTCGCCTGGCACCACACCGGTGCCCTATGAAGTGACGTCATTCCTCTATTTTATAGGAAACGTTATGGGTCGTGCAGATTTTCGCTTCAATAGCTGGTGTCGTCTGTGGGAACCGATTAGTTCCCTGAAAAGAGTAATTCTAACGCGATTCGGCTCGGACAACAAGACAAAGGTTTCCGATCAAAGAAACCGTCTTGAAAGTATCCGTTGTGAAGTGTCACAACAACGAGTTCCCGTCTTATAAAAGGTCAGGTCTCCACACCAAGATCCCCCATCCATCATACTAGGGAATAATGGTAAATCGCATGATGGCAAACTACATATGATGGTAAGGTCCAAAGCCTAATGTGTCAACCTCGGTACACCAAGGCAACCAAGTTCAGCGTCTCTCTCACCAACCAATACTTGGCTCCTAACACTATCGAGGCCTGGTGTTCCGAAACCAGGCACCAGAACCTGGTAATATAAGATCAAGGTTCGATCATCCAAAACCATAGCCTGTTAGATCTCTACACACCTGAAAGGACTCTACTCCAAAGAAGTTACTACAATCAGGGAGTTCAACCCCGTTCAAGGTATTCCCAGGCACAATGAGGCTTTTGACCATTGGGCACCAAGAATGGTCTCTTAACTACCAAGCTCCAAGCCTGGACTCATCCATATCAAGCCTGCTTGGTCTTAGCCACATCATGCCAGGTAGATTTTATCCACATCATCATACTAAGCCATGCAGGTTTCATTCATATCAAGATTGTGAGTTTTAGCCATGCCAAGCCTGATCTCAAAATTAGGCAGAAGATCCAAAACCTCGAGTCTAATAAAAATTAGAAAATTAACTATCTCAGAAGAGGGTAGTTTGGGGACACACAATAAACATGCAAGGCCATTTGACAAGTTTACGGTTCTAATTACCGAGACATCCTCAAACACAATAAGTCCCTTTATTCAGTGCGAGCTCATGAGGCTAAAAAAAAAAAAAAAAAAAAAAAAAAAAAAAAAAAAAAAAAAAAAAAGGGCCTATTCCCTTATTAAAGGGCAAGCTTATAAAGCTTGGGCAAAACATCCCCTTATTAAAGGAGTGATGTAATATCCCTAATTTTAAAAGGATAGTCTCGGTATTTCTTTTATGGTTTTATTGCAATTTTAAATTCTTTATGTGTTTATTTGGCTATTTGGTTAATTGGTTAATTGTTTAATTGATTTATTTGTTTTAATTGAATGATATAATTAGGTGGATTTGCATTAATTGTTTAAATTGATTTATTTGTTAATTGATAGTATAGGTTTAAATTGATTTATTTATTTAATTGAAATCATGTACTTATGTGGACTTAAATTGAATGTGAATTAAATGTGTTATTTTTATTTTTTTAAATGGCGTTGGGCTTAGATAGGGGATTAAATGGGTACAGTTATTACCCATGAATGTATATACATGTATATATGGGTATATATGTATATAAGGTTAGTTTAATTATTAGTAATTATTAATAATTAAATTAATATTATTATTCATTATATAATGTATAATATAATATTAGGGTTTTATATATTTTCACAGGTTAGCCGACTTAGTTATATTTTTATTGTATTTTTCTTTTCTTTTCTTTTCCTTCTCTAAGTATAATTGGAATTAGGGTTGTGTACGCCTATATATATATAACACAATACGTCTGCTGAGGGTTTAAAATCAGCAAAACCCTATTCACGAATAGAGAGAGATTTGAGGGAAAAACAGCGAGAACTAGTTAGGGTTTCGACCATAATTAAAGATCGGACCAAGGAGGAAGGAAGGGATTGCTTGTGGGTTTGAACCAAAGCAATAGGAGGTTTGACAGTAGTCGGCAGTCGTTGGAAAACTTAGAGACGATAGTGCAAGGTTTCAAACTGAAACCTAAAAGCAAGTTTTATATCTAACTCTCTCCCTTTGACTTGTGTTCTTTATATGCCTAAAACAATTTCAGGAGTAAATAAACGTAAAATTAATCTTTTATGCATGTTAGATTCGATTAAAACAGTATATGTATTAACAAATTAGTAATTGCTTGTTTTTAAGTTTCTTGCATGAGTACTTGTTTTGATTGGGTTGTTTAACACATAAAGGGTTTGGATAATTAATTGGGACTGTCAGGAACTTAGAATAGAGGGTTATGGACCTTAACAAGAGCAATTGGACAGTCTGAAAGTCGCCGAAGGCGAAGCAGAGGAGGAAAACAAGAGGAGAGCTGGCTCCCTTTTGAAAGGAGGCGGCTCCCCTCTCAAAGAGGCGGCTCCCCTTGGTGGGGAACCAGCTTTACATGCTAGGGAGGAGGCTCCCTTAATGGGGGAGCCGGCTCCATGCTTGGTGGAGGCGGTTCCTCTTTTGGTTTATGGTTTCGACGAGTTTTTGGGCCACAGTGCTTGGATTTTGAAGTTCCGGGTTTAATTAGGAGCTGTACTAGGGGTTTTCAATGATGTCTAAGGTCATATTAAAACTCCAAAGGGCATGATAATGCATAATAAACCACAGGGAATTAGTATATGGAACAATATGAAATTCTTAACTAAATTTACATATTGATTTTGGATGCGGATGATTCAATTTTGCTTACCTCTAAATTAGCAATTGGTTTATGTGTGATATGGTTTAAAATCATGTCTCAGTGGTATAAAATAAGCATGTTAATTATATATTTCTATTATGCTTATTATGGATCAATTGATGTTTATATTTATTGTCTGTATTATCAATTATTAGATTTTGTGGAGTAGTATCAAATATGCATGTTAATTTATATATTTTTATTATACTTATTATGGATCAATTGATGTTTACATTTATTGTCTGTATTATCAATTGTTGGATTTGTGGATTATATGCACCGGTATGGGACGGTGGCATATTAGGGATGGATTAGTTCAAAACGCTAAGTCCTACCTACTCTGGAATAAGGGAACAGATTAACAATAAAAGTTAGTCCTACTTATATTTATGTCAAGTCAACAAATAGTTAGATGACATTACTTTGGTTTGGATGGATTTTAAATATATAGTTATGATACATCGATATAAGCTTGAGTTTCAGGATCGATGGTTAGGGAGCGTATATGCAGTGGGATACATAACTGGCTATGATGGTTAGAGGTGTATCCTGTTAGGTCTAGGCACTCATGCCCACTTCAGGTGCATTTTGCATGTTTCCTACTAGTCAGGTTGAGACCGGCCGGCCTCTAGTCCAGTGAGAGTCCCTTAGTGTGGATATATATATATATATAGTTATTATTAAGTTGTTTAGGATGTACATGCGTATCGGGTCTCTATTTGGATTGTAATATAATAGAATTTGCTCGTGGGCCTGACCCACTATCATTTTTCAGGTGTTCGACAGTTCCAGGTTTAGAGTTTGATCGTGCTGAGCAGAGACAGTCACTCACTCTTTCGACTACGTAAGATTTCCCTTCATAGTTTAGCTTTGGATTTTATTTCAGTTATTTACTTTCAGTTGGGTTTTATTAGGGGTCCACTAGGTGTATTCCCAAGTTGTATCAAATATTAGAGGTTTTGGCTATATTGGATTTTATAACTTTTAAGGATTTTTATTTTAGAATTCTTTCAACTTATGTATTTATTCATTAAATTCTTCTTGTAATCATGCTTGTTTAAATATTAATTGTTTGGTATCCCTCGGATCTGTGCTCGGACTTGATCACCTGTGGCTCTAGAATCGTTGGGTATCACAGGTGAGCTGGGTGAAGCTCGTAAAAATTAATTAATCCATCTATTAAGAAGGCGAGCTAAGTGAAGCTCGAAAATTAAAAGGGCAGGCTAGGCAAAGTTCGAAATTATTATTCCCCATATCAACGGGGGCGACCTGTGTGAAACTTGAACCTATTACGACCCCCTTGGCAAGAACAACTACTCCCCTTAAATAGACCAAGACAAAGCTCCAAAAAATAGAGTGTTTCCCAAACCTAATGTTAGTAAGGTTTGTAAGGAACATAACCATTGGGTAAACACATTACCAAAAGGGAAACTGATCAAATAATGCGTACTGGTTAAGGGTAAAACTTAATCTTCAATGCATAAATCTCATCCAAACCAAGAACAAGTTGCCAACCCTAAGGCCTAGTCATCTAAGACAAAGGCTATGTCATCCAAAACCAAAGCTTGTTCGCTCAAGGCCATGTCATCTCAAACCAAGGCTTGTTTGCCCCAGCCCTGGTCAACTAAGACTGTAAGGACTTGACCCTTTTTTTATTTTTCACTATTTTCTTTTTTCATCATTTTCGAGTTTCGGGTCAACCGGGATCAAACCGGGTTAAGTGTTCGGAATTTTTTTCTAACACTTTGTATTTATTGTTTTGAAGATATATTGGACCTATATATTTAATTTGGGATGTTTTGGATATCATATTTTATTTTGGGACATTCACGTTATTATTTTATAGATATTTTCTAAATTTTGGGCATTTTGTAATTTTTGCTTTTGTGGGGTCCACAAGAGATATTTTGGCTTTGTAATTGCTTTATACATATATAAATATATGTTAGGAAAGAGAGGGATCAGCTGAGAGAAGCCCTCGTCTGCCTTTCTTTTTCTTTTCCTTTTTTCTTTCTTTTTCTTTTATTTATTTCTTTTGTATTCTTGAGGTTTTGCCCATTTTATTCTGTTTCGGTTAGTATTCTTACGTTGCCATAGAAGAGA